TCCTGGGGACCCCCCTTCTTGACTGTTAGTCTCCATCATAGAGACTTGTCTTTATTCTTCTACAAGCCGATTTCTTACGGGCTCTTGTAGGTATCCTCCTCTAGATTAATCACTAGAGGCCCTCCGCTATCCGTATCTAGTACGGGGTCGTTGCAGGCACTGCAATTCGCGCCTGGGCGAAAGCCTTCTACTCTCTCTCGGTCGCGCGTGGGACCAAAGTAGGGATCGAGCCAAATAAACTGAATGGCTCGCTTCTTTTAGTATCTTCGGATAATGTAACGGTCTCAACTGAGTATATTGACAACTAGCTGAGCGACTACTACGAGTATCCGAAGATGAAGAAGAAGGGATCGAAAAGGGGCTATTCCAGCTAGCTGGAATAGCCTTTTATATGACTTACATGGGTCCCTTGCCTAGATGGTCGAGGGCTACCCGAGACCTCCACGGGCCTAGCCCGTTACAAACGTCGAGTCAGTTAAACGATACTCATGTCTTATTTTGCGAAAACCAGCTGACTTTCTTACAGGCCCTACCGCGTTGTGTGCCCTGGTGCCACCTAAAAGATCAGACTAGGAGGAGCCCCGAGGCCGTCTAACAATGCGACAGAAACTTGGCGTGGTATCAGGAATAGCAAGATGTATATTTATTGTGCTTTAGCCAACAAGAACAGGGTGCTCAAGAGTTGAAGGCAGACCTGCGTATTTGGATACGATATATCGATATTGATATAAATTTCTGTCCCTAGCCTACTACTACTCAAGGAGGGTGTCATGCTTAATCCTTGTTCGTTCCGCCCAGATCGTGCAAAAATACCCTGTTCATTCCGTGTTAACTCCCTATCACTAATGCGGGGTGCAATCGACGTAGATTGGAGTGTTTTTCCCATAGTAAAGACGCCCCACAAAAAGAAATCGAGGTAGATTGAAGTGAACATAAGCAATTACTTTCAGTGAGAAAAATGGTTTAAAATGAAAAAAATTCTAATTACATATCATATGAATTAAATAGTAATATAATAGATTTATTCCATCGATTAATGGTGTGGGTTAATTTGACGACGATATGCTCGATGTAGTAATAAGTGGGTAGGGTTCTCCTCCCACTAGACAGAAGAAGCTATTACCACTATAATGCCCGTGTAACAAGTTTAAACTTCACAAAGCTTGCATTACTATATATACCATGGAACCATTTATATACGATGCGAAATACCCATTTGTATTCTGCAAGGAGTGCAGATGGGCATGCATTGGTAGCGAAGTGGCAAGTCATTGTTACAAGCCAATCAGAGACGAGGGGTCGCGCCAACGGGCCGCCCCTCCATCATGACATAACTAGGCAACACATCCGGGTCACGTGACGCCCGTGATCGAAGCGCTCGAGCTTCGATCAGAAGCGATCACTGATCGAGTTGATCGTTAGTCGATCAACATGATCACGAAGAGATGGACTTGTATATAATTAGATAGTTAAACATCCTCTAGGATAGTTCAGATCTTCAGTGATCAATCTAAGCAATTACTTGTTAATTGAGGATAACTCCTTAACGACCGCTTAACCAACCCTTTGTTACTACTGCTCTTGGACTTAGTCCACTTACACCACAATTGTTCTACTACATAGGACAGACCCCTACGCAGTGCAAGCCACTTCGTTACAACACTATAGCTACGCTCAAGACTTGACCCGCTTCGGTCGGATATAACATTTCCAGGGCATCAAAAACGTTTTGTATTGTCCGTCATAGCTTGATGACTTCTCCCGCCTGGAAGTCTCGCTTCTGATGTTCTCATCAATATCATACCCGTCAGATAAAATCCCAGGGCCGTTCTTGAGGTAGAGTACAACTGTTCACTTTGGAACCTTCTTGCCGAGGATGATGGTGTCCAGCGCTGCCCTCAAATGAAACAAATCAAATCCGGGCCTATATTTGTTTGTTTGATATATTTTGAAGCCATATTTGTTTGTTTGAAATATTTGATCAAATATTTGAAATGCTGNCTAGGATAGTTCAGATCTTCAGTGATCAATCTAAGCAATTACTTGTTAATTGAGGATAACTCCTTAACGACCGCTTAACCCTATCTTTGTTACTACTGCTCTTGGACTTAGTCCACTTACACCGCAACTGTTCTACTACATAGGACAGACCCCTACGTAGTGCAAGCCACTTCGTTACAGTCATCTCCATCGATTTCACTCCATACAATGGAACGCCAAACAACGACGCCAGATCGCCGACCGAGTCAACAATATACCATATATAATTCAGACGCAGGAAAAATTAAGAGAATATCAGCTGCCACATCCAGAGCAGCCACCCTTGCCATATCTACGAGACCCAGAACCAGATGGGTTGCGAGGTCTACAATGTACATATGTTGCGCGAAACATTTACTCCATGCAGCTACACTGCAAACAAACGCACCAATGGGTCAATACATGGGGAAATGGAGGGAATGTACGCGAAAAGAGCAAAGGGAATCGAGAATTGCCATGGAAGACTGGTATATATTGCCAGCGATTATTTCCCGGGCGCGCTGATTGATTGATTGATTGATTGATTGATTGATTGATTGATTTTGTATATTAACGTCTATATAGCGCTACAGAGTAGCATAAGACGTGTAGAGGAGGGGCTAAAATACAGCAGTTCTACAGGCCGACGAACCACCGTAGGTGGTTCCAGCCGCGCACGTGTGTGCGCGACGCCAATGCCTTCGGGTCCACCCCGTTGGTCGCCGCGTCCTGTCCTGCCTCCTCCCTCAACCACAGTTTCACGCCCGAAGGCCATTGTTATCTAACTCCTTACCCGACTCGGGATCCAGAGGATGCATCAGCTAGCCTCAGCAGGCTGATCATCTGTTGCTATCTGGTTTCTTAATAGGGACCAGTCTACCCTGTTGTCGATGGGTGTCTTTCCTAAGCAAAATGTTTATCTATCTAAGGTAGGGAAGGTTGTTGCGGACCGAAACAAAGGAAAAGTAAATAAAGGGTAAACAAAGGGAATGCCTCTCCGTCCTCCGATGACGCGAAGGGGGCAGGCTGTCTATAGGACTAGTAGGCGCGGCAGATACGATTGAAATATACCTCGGCGATACGAAGAAACACCTTATACTGTTCGCTAAGATGCCTCGCGATTGCCTTTTCGGGCTCGGGTGTCAGCCGAGCTCGAAGGGCAGGAGGGATCTTACGGCAGTAGAAGATATATTTTAGGGTCTTCTCTCGCCCACAGGGACATTCAAGTATCGTGTTGTGATTGTGAAACTGTTCGTGGTACATAGCGAAGTCGCCATGGTTTGTTCGTGCTGCTAGCAGGAAGCAGAGTTGTTTTCTAGGAACCTCGAGCTTAGGCAGCTTTTAGAGGTTAGCCTTTATATTTGGTGTTTGCCTCTGGTAAGTAGCTTTCTCTATACTATTCTACTAGTCGAGAAAATACTAGCGGGGGAGCTGCCGAACTTCTCTTTGTGTCTGCGAGATGGATAGGGCTATCATGCGGACTTGGAGAGATTCGCCCTCCTTTGCTAGTTTGTCCGCTTTTTCGTTTCCAGGTATATCCTTGTGCCTGGGTGTCCACCGGACCGTGATATGCCCCGGGTATTTGTCTCCTAAGGCCTGGATTTTAAGTAAGTAGTCTTTAGACGAGGTAGGGGCTGTGCTGCTAATACCTCGAACAACAGCAAGATTATCTATACAGATTGTGATCGGCAAGTTGTCGGAGTTGTCTTTTAAGATAGCTTTCAGGCTGTAGAAGGCTCCTGTGACTTCTGCATTAAACACTTCGTGTGTGCCTAGCTGTTGTGCTTTCTGTTTAAGGATTCTGTCTTTGTAGTATACAACAAAGCCATACCCCGCGCTGCCATTTTCTAACTTGGAGCCGTCAGAGTAGATAATATACCCCGATGGCTTTGTGTTTAGCCACTGCAGGTGGGCTGCTGTGGCTTGGTCCTTGCCGATTTGTTCGTCGTGGACTTGGATATTCGTCGAGTATCGTCGAGGGATAAGTACGACTTCTTGATAGTCTTTATGTTCTTGTGCAGTATGCACTAACCGTACCCGCCTCGAGGTTGCGGCGGCGCTAGCATCCGGGTTGTTACTCAAGATATCTCGTCGAGCGGCATGGTCTAGTCTTCGTCGTAGAGGGTGCTTTCTGTCGAGAGTGGCGAGGCGTAGGGAGACCCGCGAGCGTATACTTTTGACGAGAAGCTCAGCGGGGAGTATTCCTACTTCCTTCCAAAGGTATTCTTTGGGTGTTGTTTTCCAAACAGGCAGGATCATGCGGCAGGCATTGTTTAGACTGATCTGTATTTTCTGCAAGCAAGTCCGCTTAATCTAGTAATATGTTGAGTATCTAGTTAAGGGGGGGTCTTGTTGTATCTATGCCTCAATCCTATATAGAATCGTTGGCAGTACCACTGTCTGCACGGCGTGCCTGGCAGCCGAGGGTCGTATTCCACGGACTGTGTTCCTAAGCCCTTTGAGGAAACTTATAAGCCTGTCTGCTTTCTGTCTCTAATGCTGTATATGCGCTTTGAAGAATAGCGTCTTGTCGAGGTATACTCCTAGCCACCTTATCGAGTTTAAGACCGCAATTGTCCTCTCTCCATGCTGGATGTCAGGGATCTCTTCTCTTCGCCGATTGATTGATTTTATTATTATTATTATTATTATTTATTAACGTCTATCTAGCGCTCCAGGGTAGCATAAGACGTGTAGCTCCCGGGAATAGCAAGTTTAGTAACATGAGACTATTGTAGGCGGAGCCAACCACCGCGAAGAGGCGCGGTAGCGCCTTGCCAAGGGCCCACCCCAATTTCCCATGCGTGTTCCAAACTCTCCCTATGCATAGCTACAGATTCACGAACTTTTCCGACTCCTTACCCGTCAGCGGGATCTAGAGAACGCTGTAGGCGTTGCGGTACGCCTCGCTTACAGCGTCTGTTGCCATCCGGTTTGTTATATGGGGACCAGTACACCCTGTGGACGGTGGGAATCGATCCCAAGCAGATTTTCTATCTAGGGGGAATGGCTGGCGGGCCGACAAGAAAGGAAAAGGGGTATTAACAGAAGAAATCCCTATAGGCGAAGATGATGAACGCATCCTCGTCGGGAGTTTAGGAGAGTGTATTAGCACCACTGTGCGCAGATGTGCTTGAAGTACACACCCGCGATGCGATTGAATACCTTATACTGCGAGCCGAGGAACCGGCCTATTGCGCTTTGAGCATCGGGTGCCAGCCGAGCTCTCAGGCCTACCGGAACCTTTCGGCAGTAGAACAGGTGTGTAGGAGATCTTTCCCTCCCACAGCTGCATTCAAGGGACGTATCGTGGTGGTGGAAGCGTGTGTGGTAATCGGCGAAGTCGCCGTGTGTGGTTCGGGCAGCGAGGAGATGCCTTAGCTGTATGCGAGGCATTTCGAGCTCTGGGAGCTTCAGGAGGTCTCCCTTGAGGTCGATCTTCTGGTCGAGGTAGGCACGTTTGTCTACCCCTTCCCACCATTCTTTAAAGAGTAAAGCTAGCTTTGCTCGTACTTCGCGGCGTCGTTGTGAGACGGACGGTGTAAGGTCTTGTACAGGGAGAGCTGCGCCGGCCTTTGCCAGGCTGTCTGCGGCTTCATTTCCAGGGATATCTTTATGTCCTGGGGTCCAGCGAACCGTGATGAGCCGTGGGTGTTCGTCGCCGATGGCTTGGAATGCGCGGAATTGTGCCTGTGAGGACATGGGAGCAGTCCCCCCTATCCCTCTCACTACTGACGAATTATCGATTCAGATAGTGACCGGAAGTCGCTCGAGATTGTGCGTCATCGCCTGTTTCAGGCTTTTGAGTGCTCCGGAGATCTCGGCGTCGAACACCTCTCTGTGGTCAAGCTGCCGGGACCCTGAGTCGACCTGTATACCATCCTTGTAGATGATGAACCCATAGCCCGCACGTCCGTCCTCTAGTTTCGAGCCGTCGGAGTACACAATGTAGCCTTCGGGTCGAGACTTGAGCCACTGGAGATGGAGTTTGGTTTCGATATCCTTTGTATTTTTGTTGAGTATGGTAGTGATGTTAGTGTTATACCTTCTAGGGATCAAGGGTACGCTTGGGATATCCTTATGTAGGGTAGATAATCCAAGTAGTCTAATATGTCTTGACATGACAGAGCGATGGGTCTCGGGATGTGCTTCTAGAGCACATCTACGTTCGAAATCGTCTAGTCTTTCGCGAATAGGGTGTCTTCGGTCTAGGGTAGCAATTCGTAGCGAGATCCTTGAGCGGGCTGCTCGTATTAGATCCTCGGCGGCGGGAATCCCAGCTTCGCGCCACATGTAGACCTCGGGGGTCGTTTTCCAGACTGGTAGTATAGCGCGGCATGCTGTATTTAGGCAGCTTTGGATAGCTGTGATTCTTGTTCGAGTGATCTGGGAGACCCGACCGCGTCCAGCAGCAGGGGCGTCGTCTAGGAGCCATACTTCGATTCCATAGAAGATAGTTGGGATAATAACCGTATTTACCGCCCGTCGGACCGCGGAGGGCTTGATACCAGAGATCGTGTTGCTGAGGCTGCGTAGCAGGTTCGCTGTTACCATCGCCTTCTGTCTCCAGTAGGTAATATGAGCGTTGAATTTTAGTTTGCTATCAAGATAGACCCCAAGCCACCGCATCGACGGCGTGGCCTTGTTTACCTTATCTTGGTGTTGGATTGTCGGGGATTCCGTAACTCGTTTCCTAGTAAAGTGCATGATCTCTGTCTTCGCAGGGTCGAATGTGACTGCCGTGGATTTGCTCCATTCAACCATACGTTGGATCGCTTGCTCGGCTCGTTGCGAGGTTTCTTGTAGGGAAGAGCCGATAAACAGCATAGCCGTGTCGTCTGCATACCCGTACCGTTTATCTGCGCCGTCGAGGGAGTAGATATCCACAATGTATAGTAGATAAAGTATCGGGGAGATTGGGGAGCCCTGCGGGAGTCCGCAGGGGAGTTCTATACTGTCTGATTGGCTCTTGCCGAACCGGGCAAATGCTATACGACAAGACATAAAGCTATACACCCAGTATATTAGGTTAAGTGGCCAGCCTTGTCTCTGGAGTCTCTGAATAAGCCGGTTTCGCAGAACAGCGTCAAAGGCACCTTTAATATCCATAGTAACTAAGGTTGCAACTAGGTGATTCTTGAAGACTTTACTCTCGATATCGAAGACGAGGGAGGAGACTATATCCATAGCAGAGCGACGAGGAAGAGCTCCTGCGAGCTCGGGAGGGATTATATCGTGTGTGACAGCCATGTAGGCGATTCGTCTGGCGAGCACCCGTTCCAGTCCTTTGCTAAGGCAGGGGAGGAGTGAGATGGGGCGCCAGGCAGAGGGGTTCGAGAGATCCCTCTTGTTAGGTTTAGGGATCATAACTACTTCAGCCGACTTAAATACCATGGGATGGTACCCGAGCTGGAGGTAGCCGTTGTAGAGCATTGTGACAGCGTCGCTAATACCAGTCTAGGCGGCTCGTAGTATCTTAGTAGTAATATTATCCATCCCTGGAGTAGTATTACCTGTACTGAGAAGTGCATCTTGGACCTCTTTCTTGGAAATTGTGTCGTCCCAGGGAAATGGGTTATCCTGTGTAAGATCGGCGATATCAAGGTCGATGTCGTCCGAGGCATCTCTAGTAGCAAGCTTGGATTGTAGAAGTGCCTGGGCGCGCTCTTTATCCGAGATATAGAGTTCCTCCCCTATCTGGATAGGGGGAGGTTCAAAACGAGCTATCGGTTTGGTCCATTTTGTAATCTTATACACGTCGGAGGGATCTTGGATTTCGTCAAGGTACTTGCGGAATCCGTTTCGCTGTGCTGTTCGAACGGCTCTTTGTAGATCTCGACGAGCTAACTGGACTTCAAGGCTAGTGGGGTTATCTGACGTAGAGCGTATTATTCGTAGTGTTATATATGCTGCTTGATATTCCTCGTTCCACCATGGTTTACGTAGAGGACGATAGCCAGAAGCTTTCCGGCCGGCGATCTTGAGCGCGTCCTGTAGTATCTTAGTGATCGAGGCTGCTAGATTCTCCAGGTCCTGTTTGTTCCTGTAGGCGGTCGGGAGATTCTTGGCTGCTGACTCTACCAGGGATCTGTATTTATCATACTCCTCGTCAGTAGTAAGTCTGAACTTTCTCTCGCTGTAGGGTGGGCGTGGTTGGCTTGGGATCTCAGTAGAGATCGTGTGGTGAAGGGAGCCAGCTGTCAAGTGTTCCTCTACTGTCGACGATGCGCCGGGGATGTTAGATAACGTGAGGTCAATCGTAGAGGTGTTACGCTGTCTTGTAGTGCCCATTATGGTAGGGGTGTTGATCTTTGTAAGGACGTCTAGATCGTTGTTCTCGACCCACTGAGCTATCAGCGCTCCTTCCGTAGTAGGGTTCTTTGTGGTTTGCCAGAGAGCATACGTGGCGTTGAAGTCGCCAGCGATCACTGTGTTGTTTGGGGGCTCCCACGAGAGGAGCTTCTTAAGTCCAGTTTTGCCTTGATTGTAGAAGTTGACGATAATTAGGTTATTGACTTGCACCCCTAGGATGTCACGGTCGTCAAAGGAGCAGATTTGCGTGGCTTGGATGTGAGGGGCGTGTTTAATATAGGTCATTACTCGAGGGCGGGTGCTCCTTGAGTCCTAGCTAGCGACTGGGGAGAAGCACCGGTACCCGGGTGTTGTTGAGTTCGGCAGGTGTGTCGTTTGGTATTAAAGGAAGAGGAGGGCTCTTGTATGAGTACAACCTCATAACCGGATGTATAGGCGAGATGTAACGCTATATTGTGGCTATCTCGACTTTTGTCGACATTAGCTTGGAAGATTCGTAGTCCGCGTTTATTAAAGTGTTGTTTATCCGCATTCATTAAGCAGTAGTTGTCTTTGTTCTTTTAGCTGGGGATCTATCCCGGAGTGGAGGGCTACTTCTTGGTGATCTAGTGGCTTGTTTCGTAAGGCTAGGTTTTCGTATATGTGCTGATCTGCTTGCTCTAGGGCGAGCGAGAATGCTAGTCGAACGTCCGCGTAGGGGGGGAGAGTTGGTTTCATTCTCCGAGCTATCTCGGGTTGGGGATGGCAGTTCTACCGTTCTGGCAAGTGCCCTGGAGGTGAGAGTTTTGAGGTAGGCAGGTTTAATACCTACTGGATTCGCTGGTAGGGGATTGGGTAGGGTGATTATTCGTCTAGTGGTCGACATAGGCCCCCCTCTGGTCTTGGGCTTGGTTGGTTGGCTAGGAGCGGTGGGCGGCGCGGTGTCTATTGTGGTGTCACCTTCCTGATCCCTAGGGAGGGGGTCGGGCTGGGAGGGGCAGATGACTCTGGTATCGTTGGGTTGAGTTCGGGGGCAAGCTCTGGGTGAGAGCGCTTGAACGCCTGAGCTCCTAAGAGCTTGGCGTGCGTGCGTTGTGTTCTGGAGAGCTTGTGTAGGCCGTCATCGCGTTTCTTGGGCTTGGCGAAGCAGCTCTGATCGTCGGGGAGATGCGGTCCATGGCAGTTAACACACTGCGTAATCTGGTCGCAAGCGCTGGCGTTATGGTCAGATGTGGTGTGTTGGCCGCAGTTCTTGCAGATTTCCGGGGCAGTGCAACGGGTCGGGGCGTGGTAGTTCCAGCATGACTTGCACTGTGAGATCTTGGGAGCGCGAGTGAGCTTGAATAAGAACGCGCTTGTTCCTAGTAACTAGAATCTGCTTGCAACAGGTTCGGAGAAGGAGACAACTAGCGTTACAGTCGGGGTGTTAGTGGCTTCGTCGGCCTTGGAGACGTGCCAAGAGATCGGGGATTGGTCAGTCTGGCGCTTGATTTCGTCGCTGATGATCTGTTCGAAGTCCAGAGGTTGTCCCTCCCAGTCGTTGAGAACCCGTGGGACTTCCTTGACAAGGTAGGTGTGCCACTGGACGTTCTTTTCCGCGATAATAAGGTCGATCTTGGGGCCCCACTGTGCTTGTGTTTCGAGAAGTGTAGCTTCGGTTGCATTGGTTCGTGTAGTGAGGGACCAGCCGGTGTTAGTGGGTTTGATGTCCTGAAAGTCGTCCGCTGGAAGCGAGGTAGCATGTGCGAGAGCTAGGCGGATCTGGTAGGCGTGCGGATCTGGTAGGCGTGTTTCGTGAAGAGTTGGGAGTCCGGTTGCAGCCTTAGAAGAATACGTCTGTCAAGGTTCTGCGATTTCTGGTTTTCCGGGTTCGAGGCCCGGGGGTTGCCTTTGGATCGCGATCTTCTCGCAATACTGACGTTGCCGGGCGTTTGAGTATCAGCGGTAGCGGCGCGGGCCGCAAAGCCGGTCAGCCGGCCTCGGCCTCCGGGGGCCGGGGCCGGACCGGAAATTGCAGACGGCTTGGAGACAGCCATGGTAATCTTATTTTGCCCCTTATTCTCAAAATTCGCGCATGCGTAGTTGTCCCAATGATTAAGGAGGGATTTCGAGAAGTCGCGGGCGATCTGGAGGGCATAGCCAGAGGTGTATTGTTTAGCGCAATCACTAATTGTGGTTGCGAATTTTCTGAGGACATCGGTACGAATCTGAAGACGTTCCTTCTCTCGTGTAAAGATGTCTTCTGCGTGCGCTTCGATATCTACGGCGTCTACGGCAGCGCTATTGCTCCCTTCGTCTTCCAGATTATGGTAGATGTTCGTTCGGGCGTAATCTGGGCGATGTCGTTCGGGGCTTCGAGCTCGATGCGGAGGTAGGGCGGGTAGCAGAGGACTACTGCTGTTTGGGAAAGGCTGGTGAGTTATCGTCGCTCGTCCTTGAAGCAGAGCTGCTTGAGCTTTGTCTCGAGGGTTGAGCGTTTCGATATCATCAGCCTTCCGCGCTCGCGGGCGCTTGGGAGTAGCGAATGGGTTCGCCATGCCTACAGCGGCACGGGGGGTGCTTGAGAAGCGGTTGGGAGTCGTTTTTAGATCGATTCGAGCCTATTATCTACGGAATTCTACAAAAGCTACTTTTGGCTATGTAGATGTAGATGACCGGGCCTTGATCGGCCTCTCTCTTCCTAGGTATAGGGTAGCGCTGGCACCCTTCGTGGAATGGGTATCGGGCATAGCCCGATTCTTAACATAAAGTTATATTTATAGTACTCGATCTTATTAATTGAGCATCTTAGTTGTATTCATTATACTACTAATCTTTTTATATATTTGCTCTTTAAACCCCCGATAGCCTACGCTATACCACTTTATATAATCTGATGTGTTTGCCTAACCCTAGCTCGCGTTCCCGCCCAATTAATCTTGGTAATAGGAAATTCAATTTCGAAGAGTATCCTGACACCTAACCTGATGGGTTGGGATTATCGCATTTGTTTCGGCCTTGATATTGCGCTTTGGTGATGCAGGAATGCTGGCCGTTGTAGGTCCAGTCAATCTTATTGCCATAAACAGGAGGACACGTACACTCGACAACGAGAGCACCAGGCACATATTCGCACTTAACAGCGCAACGGGGATCATGTGGCGTCTGACCAGCAGAATCATATGAGCAAGACCCGTAAAAGCCGTCGGTGCATCTGAAAGCAGCTGCAGCCTTGATACCGGCCAAGAGAAAAGCAAGGGATGTTAACTTCATTGTACAAAAATACTGATCTGTAGAAGATATTATGTAGAGGAGTGAGGATAGCTGAGTTGAAGAGCTTTGAAGAGAAGTTGAAGAAGTGAGAGTTATTGTGTGTAGAGGGACGAGAGGGGCTAGGGTTTCTGATATAGAAAATATTGACTAATTCGGGCACCGTAGGCTTAACATCTACCGATAGGTTTGTTCGAATCCACGCCTGCTAACTAAGCACCAAGTGCTCGGCGGATAATACCGTATATTAGTAATCGCCACTTTGCTAGTAATAATATAACAGGCTATTAGTAAGCGACTTTACTATAATGCTAAGTCTCCATTTATCACCTCTACGAACTAGTATAGTACTGGGGAGCGTTAATTTAAAATTGTTGAAGAGAAGCTTTAACAGGAGTATTATATAAGATTAAGGTTATGCCGCTTTAGAACTCTTCTTGGCTCCTAAACACCAATACCTAGTATAGTCAAAATGAAGGCCTTCGCTATATTCACCTTTGCAGTAGCAGCCGCTTCTGCGGCTGTAATTAATTCTACCGAGATCGTGGAGGTTCCCAGCGGTGCTCTTGAGATCACCATCGATGGTGTTTCATGGGGCTATCTACTGGATACTACGGAAGGAGGTTTGTTCTACTGTTCTACTTACGAACCTGTTACTTTTACTATACTAACATAGTATCTAGTCCGGACTTTCGACGTCTCTGGCACTGAGTATAACCTGCAGCAGACTATCGTAACCAGAGGCGGCGTCCATACAATCGCAGAATTGATTCAGAAATGGGGCAAGCCTGCTGCAAGGCTTTTCCAGTGTATCGGTGCTAAGGTTGTTAGCAATTGTGCAAGCCAGGCAAGTCAATTTGTTTCCGTTTGTTTCCGACAAACGAAGTAGAATAAGTGGTTTCCTAATACAGATTCTTTAGTTCGTCTTGTGTGGCGCAAGCGGCGTTGCGCCTTGGGTTTGTGCAGGAGGTCTCACATGTGCTGGTCCTCATGCGGTGGAGTGTGTACAGCAGTTGACAGGTTAACCGTTGTTAGTTGTAGCTATTAAGGAATATACACGCAGGGAGAATACTATAACGAAGTAGCTTGTATAATATAGAGGTATTATATTATAGTATATCCTAGTGTTACAAACCAATCAGAGACGAGGGGTCGCGCCAACGGGCCGCCCCTCCGTCGTGACATAACTAGGCAACACATCCGGGTCACGTGACGCCCGTGATCGAAGCGCTCGAGCTTCGATCAGAAGCGATCACTGATCGAGTTGATCGTTANCCATTTAAGGGTCGGAGATTTGTATCGATATCGATATATATCAATATCGATATAGCCATATAGCCAGGTTGATATCGATATATCGTATCCAAATACACATGTCTGTCACTGATCGAGTTGATCGTTAGTCGATCAACATGATCACGAAGAGATGGACTAGTATGTAAGTAGATAGTTAAATAGCCTCTAGGATAGTTCAGATCTTCAGTGATTAATCTAAGCAATTACTTGTTAATTGAGGATAACTCCTTAACGACCGCTTAACTAACCCTTTATTACTACTACTCTTGGACTTAGTCCACTTACATCGCAACTGTTCTACTATATAGGACAAACCCCTACGTAGTGCAAGCCACTTCGTTACATAATTCCCCAGGTACTAAATTAAGATAATAATTGCCTTGTATTTAAGAATAGCTTAGCTAGTGCTGCTATATTACTATCCTCTATAATAACGACATCTATACAATAATACCCACTTAACGCTAAGAACTGTTAAGAATCGGGCTATGCCCGATACCCATTCCGCGAAGGGTGCTAGCGCTACCCTATACCTAGGAAGAGAGAGGCCGATCAAGGCCCGGTACGGGCCTTGTCAATCACTCGGACGACGTGCTTGTTACCCCTATCCAGGGTCTTTATATAAAGTCTTCCACGAGTGGAAGACTTTGGAAGATGTTCTTTAAGCGAATTAATCACTATCTTGAGACACCCTTTCTGCCAGCTGGCCCGGGTCAGTCCGTAACATACTATCTAGTATTAGTAACCTATTAGGAAGAGTAACCTAAATTACTAGTAATCTAAGCTATAATAAAAAACTAGGCTAGTATAAGTAGATAGTTAGATAGATCTAACGCAAGTCTTTAGTAATTAATCTAAATAATTACTTGTTACTTGGGGATAACTTCTTAACAACCACTTAACTACTTTTATTACTACTCTTGGACTTAGTTAACATATATAACAAGTATTCTACCGCCTAGAATATACCATAACATAATACCTCTATATTATACAAGCTACTTTGTTATAGTATTCTCCCTATGTATATATTCCTTAATAGCTACAACTGACAACGGTTAACCTATCAACTGCTGTACACACTCCGCCGCATGAGGACCAGCACATGTGAGACCTCCTGCACAAACCCAAGGCGCAACGCCGCTTGCGCCACACAAGACGAACTAAAGAATCTGTATTAGGNAAGAAACGCACGCGCAACCAAGTTCAAAATATGACCATAGCAGCGCATGCGCCTAGCACGTACGTCTGTAGGCTTCAGCTCCGGGTTGATGTTTCGGTAGAAGCTTTGAAGGCATTTGTCATTTGTCGTGGCGTTATCGGATATAATAACTCCCACCTGGCTCTCTATTTCCCATTCTGTGGCAACTTTCAGGAGAGTAGTAGCTAAATTAGTGCCACTATGGCATCCTAGCTGATGGCGTAGACCAAGCAAGCGTGTCTGTTGGTTGCCGCCACGATCGAGAAAGTGGGCTGTAACAGCCATAATGGCGTAACGATTAGGGGATGTCCAAAGATTGAATCCTAAATGGATTTTCGTTACTGCGTCATAGAGCTCTTGTTGGATAATACGCTTCTTGGTGTCGTAGATGTTGTATAGTTGGCGACTCATCGATTGTCTGCTCCATGGCACCTGATCAGCGACTTTTGGATCGAGTTGCCAGAGAAGCTGCTCAAAGTACGGGTTTGTGAAGACAGAAAATGGTAAATCTGCATTGACAATGAGTCCCACACCAAGCTCACGTACGGCGTTGATCTTGGCTTTCGGCACAGCACTATAGTGTAAACGAGGTCTTTTAGCTCGATCAGAGTCGTCAGTCGATGGGTCGCTTTCCGTAGTAGGACTACCTTCAAAGATCCTATGCATTCTATTTTGTAAGCTCTTGCGTCCGCGCGCACCAAATAGTAGCAGGCATACTTGCGAAGGTGATCGGCAGCAGATGTGGTCGCGCTTGCTGCGAAGAATACTGGCTGACTCTTTGCATCGCAAAGATGACAAACCCAGTAACCAGCTAACGGAGTGTCGCTGTCGTCAAGCTCAACGACGAAGAGCCCATGCTGTTTAATCCAGCTCTTCCTGCCTTTAGAGCCTTTCCGAGACAAGGATTCCTCTAAGACATATCGCTTATTTCTCCATACGGCGAGAGGCAGATCTCTAACTGCGGCACCCTCAGGAAATGCTGTTACAACACTTGATTCGAACTGGCTGCATAAGGTTTTAGGGGATTTAAGGATTGCAAAAGCCGACGGCGCTGGCGGAGCGTCCATTTTGGTACAGTTAGCTTGTTGTAAGCGAAGATATAGATGCCCTCAGATGCAGTAAACAAACCCGCGACGCGTTTCTTCAAGTAACGACGCGACACGGGCCTTATGTTAAAGGTATACCTCTTTATGCGATAATTTTAGGAGGTAATTTAAGTATCTCTCTACCAGAGGCCACCAGTGAAAACCTGCGTCTAGGGTAGGTGCGGGTCGCCAAGCGTACAAAAATCGGCTGTTTCAAAGGCATCAAACGTATATCAAATCCAGAATTATATATTTGTTTGTTTGAAAAGGTGATTGGACAATATTTGTTTGATTTGTTTGGTAGTTTGTTTGATAGGATTTGATTTAAGGGCAGCGCTGAATACAGTCCAGTTTAACCCGGTCCACCGAAGTACAGCTCAATAACCCTCCAATTCAAACAGACTACCGCAGCCACCTTGGCTTTATAGTAGTTGACCATACCATGAGGCCGCTGCGCAATCAGCAGCTAGATCAACAGGTAGCATTAGTGTCAGTTTACAAGTAGGTCATTACATACCTATGAATTATGAATGGGTAAATGCTACGCGAGACAATTGTCTAATCCATCTGCAAGTTGTTTTTTGTCAGGCATCTTGCTTCCAGATCTGTTGTCCAAATGCCGGATACAGCAGCATGAGAATGTTTCAGATGTTGTCGGAAATGATCCAGACGATAAAATTTCTTGCTCGGGTTGCATTTGCCTAATTTATGAACATCTCTCAGATGCTTACTGCGTCCTTCCCAATCTGCCACAGTGGCGTATCGATTAATTTTACCAAAGAAATTCCCAGAACGATTAAATTCAATTCCACAATAGCTGCATACATCGGCCTCGCCTGGACGAGTAATGGAGTCGTGAAATGCATGGAAGTCGTCCGCCAGAGCAGAGCATGACCACCAACAGGGTCGGAGGTGGGCAGAAATTTGGTGGCGATTTGCTTCGTTTTTGTTATTGAAATCTTTGTCGCAATATGCACATTTGTGTCGTTTCATCAACCCGTGCACCCTATACTAACGGTTATCATTGTTATCTTTCTGACAGTTGGTGTTTGATAGATATTACCTCAATTTACTCCCAGAATCAGCCACCCGGGATGTTTTAACACTTCTATCGACATTGAGAGGCCTTTGTTGCTGATATCTCGTGCCATTGAACAAGCTTCTGCCTCTGGCATAACGCTCCCCTGCCAGGCCTTCCTTTAGATGCAGGTCTGCAGTACGGCCGGATCGTTGAATGGTGTGGCTTGGAGATGGATGTAAGATGGAATGACGATGGTCTGAGGCGACGTCTGTGGCACTCCCTGAATCTGGCAAGAAGGGCGTTGATCTAACAGTAGCTTCTGGTACAACTACCGGATGAAAGTGCTTCCTATCGGATTGCCTTATTGTCAGCAAAGTCGTGCACGGCGCAACTACGGTATGCTGCTGTCGTGTAGCATCATCTACCCTGTGTATGTGCAGCTCATTCCATCTGGAATTATGAGATCCCGCTTTGTGGTTTAAAGAGTAATGGGCTATTGGCACGGGCTCAGAGTTACGGCCCAGGTCCACCAGCTCTAATGGCGACGAACTGAGTTTTCCGGACGTTGCACACCGAAGATTTGGAGTTGACGGAGTTTGCGGATAGTTGAGAATCGAGCGACAATGAAGCGGTAACTGGGGTGATATGTTCAGGACCGGATCATCTTGTGGCTTCGTCCGGTCCCGGGCCGAGGACATGAGGTTCTGCGTTGCTGGTTTATAAGCTGCAACGTCGACTAACGTAGGCCGCGGAAGACTTCCGTGAGCATTGCCATCACGATGCGAAGTACACTCCAGCGGTGGCTGGATCTTGCTGAAGCTTGTGCGAGTGCGAAGTTAGTACATAAGTCCGTTAAGCCAGAGATTCGGTAATCGTTCCTACTATGGTATAATTTGTCCTGCCAAAGCACATGTGTGTTTGTCTGGGCCAGGAAGTTCCATTGTCTGGTTAACGGAATGACGTGCAGGGTCTGAATTAGCTATACTGTGCCTGAATTTATTTGGCATACTGTCCCTTGTCAAATAGTTGTGCAAAGGGGCGAGCTTGTACAGACTAGGATCATGCAGGTGCCGCCCTGCTGACACAGGTGGGCCATCTATGTGATGTAAATCTGTGGAAAAAGCTGGATTCAGCCCTCTGCGTAGAGCGCCAGTAGTCATTCTGGGATCCTACCTAACGATACAGACTTACGTTATGCAAGTGCCGAAGTGGAAACTCCTCGGCCTATCATACTACTTCGAGAGTAAGTTATACATAAAGCTTGGCGGGTACTCCACTATTTCCTTCTACAATATCTGATGTAGTAATAGCCATTCTGAATGTGCATGGGTGGAACGTCGTGGGACTGATCAGTCATCTTCGGCAACGTCAATGGAATCTGGGGCTTTACCCACATATGGCGATGAGTGATCGCCCATCAATGTGGTTTGATTTGATTTGATTTGATCTATTTTCCGTCTATAATAGCCTGCAGTGGCATGGAGACGTGCTGGTAAACAGTGCCTTTACTAAGCAGAATTTCCTCCCGATTTTCTCGCGAAGGAGTTGGCCATCGAAATTTCGATGGTCGCTCCCGAGTAGGTATGAGGATTATGTCACGTAGCTGTCTAGGCAGACTTGCGTATATCGATATCCACCAAAATTTCGAGCCTTATATCGATATCCACATAAGCCCAACATCTTATTTGGATATCGATATATCCAGTTTGATATCCATATAGCCACATAGCCACTTTAGCAAGGTTGATATCCATTTAAGCCACATCTATTTATAGATTCAATGTCAATGTGGCGGTGATCTAGTCTAGCAAGTCTTCAACCTCCGTATCCATGCCGAATTCTACTGCTACGCTCGAAATTACTCCCCTACCTCCGCGCTACTTGGGAACAATGATACCTTCCCGTATCCAGTTACCCACACACTCCACCTTCGCCAGATTCTCGCACGTCATGCGCTCTCTATCCCAAGATAGCGTGCGGCGCGCGGATGAGAAATGAGACTCTGCGTTAGATGATTCAGGAGGAATGGAGAGGATATCTATTACCATACGAGAAAGCCGCGGGTACGCTTTCCTTTGGTCTGAATGTAGCCACCACTCGAGCGGAGATCCGGTAATCCGGGTAGAAGGAGCACAACTAAATGTTTCGAAGTCATCAGCATCGCCTACTATCGGGCCAGTCACCGCTATATCACTTAAGAGCTCATCCAGCTCGTTACGCTGTCTGCTAGCAGAAGAAGGCGCATCTGTAGGAACCTGCAAATCAGGGCTCGCCGTAGACTTGTATTCTTCTAACTAAATTTCGCGAGCGGTATCAACAGCAGGAGCTTGCCAGGGCTCTTTCCAATTCCGTTCAATGTATTTTCGTCGCTTCGAAGGATCAAGCAGGAGCGCCGCTGCATACACTGGCGTCTGGTCTGACAAAGCGTAGTATTTGTTAAGCACAAACCAGCCCATATCGATACAGTGGACCATGTGACGATCTAGCGTTTCCTATGAACTATAAAGTTCCTGCGTGTTAGAGATAAGAGCCTGTTAGTAAAGGCTATATTAAACAGAGACATAATGATTATTTTGACTAACTTTGTACTTTTCGTACTGCTGCAATAAAACATCTATGATAGACAGCGATTAAGATAGCGTGGATCCTGCTCCTTCGGCAAGCAATGTGGCTAAGGCAAACGGTTGCAAGAAACGGTGCGTCCGTTCAATAAATTCCCACTCGGACGCTAGAAGGATATCATCTTGGAGCTCCTTGTCATGGTCAACCAGAAACTGCTTCACTCGTGCTTGATACCTCAGAAGATTATCGAGCAATCGATACCACGAGTTCTAACGTGTCGTATTATCTATGCCGAGTCGGAGCTTAATCTTATCATCCCATATAGCCGAGTGAAGCGTAGATTTACGTATCTAAACCGCAATATTATATACCTTACGTAGTGGCGTAATATGCTGCTATCCGGTAAAGTTCTCAAGTATACGGTTGCTATTTCGCGAGAGCCTTCTTTGTTGATCTGTCTCAGTTGTTTGCATCGATTCCCCAGCATCGTGCAGCGTGTCGTAGAATCGGGCGAATAACTGGTCGCTGGTGCTATTATCTGTGGCATTAAGAGCTGTAATAAGCGCCTCTTTAGACGACGCGAGAAGGAACGCTTGAAGGGAGAGATTAATGATATGGCCGATACAGCGTATCCGACGCTTCGAGGGATCGAAGGACAGCTAATAATAAGGTAAGTATTACTTCAAGAATAAAGTTAAAACAATTTTACCCCGTGGTCCCGCCTAAGCCGAAGAGATAGGTAAGATAAGCAAGTATCATTAGACGTCGTATTGTCTCTAACGTGATATCCTACGTTAGACGCGATTCTATATCTCTCTAGCGTGTCTATAATAAGAGAGGCTTGCGTTTCGCCACCGTGGCTATAGCGGCATTCCGGCATCGCTAGAAGAGCCCTTCGTGGTTGATGGTCTTTATCAACCCATCGCGCTGACATAGCCAGTATTCCATAGCGATAAGGCGATGTCCAGAGATCAGACGAGATGTGGATTTTCGAAGTAGCAGACTGAAGATTTGCCCTCAGCTGAGAAGAGTAGAGGTCGTACGTGGCATCGATAAGTCGCATTACAGGACCCCGGCTGATTATCAGAAGGTCTTCGATGGCTGGGTTAGCCGCTAGTATCATCTCTTGCATCTCGACCCAAGCGATTGCAGAGAAAGAGAGTCGGCGGCGGGTTATCAGGCCGATGATTGCATCGAGGTACCGATCGCGATCGAAAACCCGTCGTAGAGCGGGATCGGGGATACGAGAGGGAAAGAAAGCATCAATACGAGAACGTTTCGTATCTAGTTCCTCTTCTATAATGTCAGAGCTCCCCTCTAGAGGTATGCAGTCTAAGCGGGATATGATATCCGAATAGCACCTACGGGCGTGATACTATACATTGTCTCGCTTACGATTCGACCACGGTGTATCGCCAGGGCAATAGAGGCATTGGTATAGTACTATACCTCTGGACTTACGTTTACGTGTCCTGCCCGTAGTGTCCTGTTTCTTGTCATCCGGATACGTAGACCTAAAGAAAAAAGAGAAGTCCAGACCTATACTAGCAATCGGCTGGTCTATAATTGAAGGTATAGATGTAGCTGTTGCTTCGGAAGGCGCTATTATAAACTACTAAATAAGTAAGAAAGCTTATGTAAGAGCTAGAAAAATATCTCTAAATGATAAGCCAAGTCCTTACGCTGGTATGTTTTCAGAGACAAGCTAGTAAGCTTGAGTTTACAAAGCAGCGGCGGAGGACTTGCTTCTAGGAACACTACAAGGGCACTTAGGGGTAACCTGTCGGTGAGACCTGCATTCCGCGGCGCGCTTGGCTACGTATGTAGGATCTCGTTAATAGAAATATTTCGAAGGTTTGTGTTTAGAATAAAGAGATAGCTTAAAGGCTAAAGGAGTATACTAGAAAGACGCTATAAGGCTATTGTGGCAGACGGACGATCTACGTAACAAATAATTGTGCTTTATAGGGAGAGATTGTCGAACAAGGAGCCTCCCTAACAGGCGGCGCCCGACACGTTGCTTAGACTAAGTTATGTGTTAATAGCTGCTTACCTGTACCTAGATTTACTGGCAAACTAGGTGGTATTGTAGGTAACTTGTTACAGACACTAACATAGTCACAGCCTACCCTGTATCTTGAGCTGGGAAAGCATCGGTTACTCTGGTACAGCCGCTAAAGGCAAAGTATTAGAGATTGCTTGAGACAACCCCAACTATTGCGTTTGGATTTACTTTAGAAGGAAAATTTAGCTTGTTGATCGACGATAAGTGGCCATGTTGACGGTAAAATGTTCAAGATTCAGGCGAGAGAACGAACTGAGCACCGCCACGATGTGTTTCACTGATAAGATTTTTTGACCAATCAGGGATAGTATATTAAATGGATATCAACATGGATATCCATTTAAGGGTCGGAGATTTGTATCGATATCGATATATATCAATATCGATATAGCCATATAGCCAGGTTGATATCGATATATCGTATCCAAATACACATGTCTGTCACTGATCGAGTTGATCGTTAGTCGATCAACATGATCACGAAGAGATGGACTAGTATGTAAGTAGATAGTTAAATAGCCTCTAGGATAGTTCAGATCTTCAGTGATTAATCTAAGCAATTACTTGTTAATTGAGGATAACTCCTTAACGACCGCTTAACTAACCCTTTATTACTACTACTCTTGGACTTAGTCCACTTACATCGCAACTGTTCTACTATATAGGACAAACCCCTACGTAGTGCAAGCCACTTCGTTACATAATTCCCCAGGTACTAAATTAAGATAATAATTGCCTTGTATTTAAGAATAGCTTAGCTAGTGCTGCTATATTACTATCCTCTATAATAACGACATCTATACAATAATACCCACTTAACGCTAAGAACTGTTAAGAATCGGGCTATGCCCGATACCCATTCCGCGAAGGGTGCTAGCGCTACCCTATACCTAGGAAGAGAGAGGCCGATCAAGGCCCGGTACGGGCCTTGTCAATCACTCGGGCGACGTGCTTGTTACCCCTATCCAGGGTCTTTATATAAAGTCTTCCACGAGTGGAAGACTTTGGAAGATGTTCTTTAAGCGAATTAATCACTATCTTGAGACACCCTTTCTGCCAGCTGGCCCGGGTCAGTCCGTAACATACTATCTAGTATTAGTAACCTATTAGGAAGAGTAACCTAAATTACTAGTAATCTAAGCTATAATAAAAAACTAGGCTAGTATAAGTAGATAGTTAGATAGATCTAACGCAAGTCTTTAGTAATTAATCTAAATAATTACTTGTTACTTGGGGATAACTTCTTAACAACCACTTAACTACTTTTATTACTACTCTTGGACTTAGTTAACATATATAACAAGTATTCTACCGCCTAGAATATACCATAACATAATACCTCTATATTATACAAGCTACTTTGTTATAGTATTCTCCCTATGTATATATTCCTTAATAGCTACAACTGACAACGGTTAACCTATCAACTGCTGTACACACTCCGCCGCATGAGGACCAGCACATGTGAGACCTCCTGCACAAACCCAAGGCGCAACGCCGCTTGCGCCACACAAGACGAACTAAAGAATCTGTATTAGGAAACCGCTCATTCTACTTCGTTTGTCGGAAATAAACGGAAACAAATTGACTTGCCTGGCTTGCACAATTACTGACAACCTTAGCACCGATACACTGGAAAAGCTTTGCGGCGGGCTTGCCCCATTTCTGAATCAATTCTGCGATTGTATGGACGCCGCCTCTGGTTACAATGGTCTGCTGCAGGTCATACTCAGTGCCAGAGACGTCGAAAGTCCGGACTAGATACTGTGTTAGTATAGTAATAGCAACAGGTTCGCAAGTAGGACAGTGGAACAAACCTCCTTCCGTAGTATCAAGCAGATAGCCCCATGAAACACTATCGATGGTGATCTCAAGAGCACCGCTGGGAACCTCCACGATCTGGGTAGAATTAATTATAGCCGCAGAAGCGGCTGTAACTGCAAAGGTGAATATAGCGAAGGCCTTCATTTCGACTATACTGGGTATTGGTGTTTAGGAGCCGAGAAGAGTTCCAAAGTGGCATGACCTTGATCTTATATTATACTCCTGTTAAAGCTTGTCTTCAACAATTTCAAATTAACGCTCCCTAGTACTATACTGGTTCGTAGAAGTGATAAATGGAGACTTAGCATCATAGTAAAGTCGCTTACTAATAGCCTGCTATATTATTACTAGCAAAGTGGCGATTACTGATATACAGTATTATTCGCCGAGCACTTGGTGCTTAGTTAGCAGGCGTGGATTTGAACAAACCCATCGGCAGATATTAAGCCTGCAGTGCCCGAATTAGTCAATATTTTCTATATTAGAAACCCGGGCCCCTCTCGTCCCTCTACACACGATAACTCTCACTTCTTCAACTTCTCTTCAAGCTCTTCAACTCAGCCATCCTCACTCCTCCGCATAATATCTTCTACGGATCAGTATTTTTATACAATGAAGTTGACAGCCCTTGCTTTTCTCTTGGCCGGTATTAAGGCTGCAGCTGCTTTCAGATGCACAGACGGCTTCTACGGGTCTTGCTCATATGATTCTGCTGGTCAGACGCCACATAATCCCCGTTGTGCTGTCAAGTGCGAATATGTGCCTGGTGCTCTCGTTGTCGAGTGCACGTGTCCTTCTGTTTATGGCAATAAGATTGACTGGACCTACAACGGCCAGTATTCCTGCATCACCAAAGCGCAATATCAAGGCCGAAACAAATGCGATAATCCCAACCCATCAGGTTAGGTGTCAGGATACTCTTCGAAATTGAATTTCCTATTACCAAGATTGATTGGGCGGGAACGCGAGCTGGGTTAAGCAAACACATCAGATTATATGAGGTGGTATAGCGTAGGTTGTCGGGTGTTACAAACCAATCAGAGACGAGGGGTCGCGCCAACGGGCCGCCCCTCTATCATGACATAACTAGGCAACACATCCGGGTCACGTGACGCCCGTGATCGAAGCGCTCGAGCTTCGATCAGAAGCGATCACTGATCGAGTTGATCGTTAGTCGATCAACATGATCACGAAGAGAGGGACTAGTATATAAGTAGGTAGTTAAACAGCTTCTAGGATAGTTCAGATCTTCAGTGATCAATCTAAGCAATTACTTGTTAATTGAGGATAACTCCTTAACGACCGCTTAACCCTATCTTTGTTACTACTGCTCTTGGACTTAGTCCACTTACACCGCAACTGTTCTACTACATAGGACAGACCCCTACGTAGTGCAAGCCACTTCGTTATACTATAACCTGCAAACGACAGGTGCAGCGTACAATAGCTTGGCTTAGTGTGGGAACTATTCAATTCACTAATGTAAAGTCACGGTGCTAACTCAGCAAAAGTAGGTATTAATAAGTTGATGCTTATCAATACGATATAGTACTTTGCCTTGTTTGCTCTTACTAACCAAGATTTTATT